ATTAAATGGTTTGTTCTATGATATTATGGGTCGGTTTTACAGGCATAGATTAAGCCTAGTCCTGGTCTACATTATTTTAGCATGCTTTGTTGTCCAGGACTAGGTTTAATCTGTCTGGGAAAGCGGCTCTCAATGTGTGCAGTTAGCAGAGTTAGTTGAATGCGGAGCAGCAAAGAGTTTTGGTATAAATGTGTCTGCCTCTATCAGAAGGGTCTGGTAGCACGAGTCATGATTTTAAAGGGATACTTTGGGATCTTGGCAATTAAGCCCTTTATCTACTTCCCCAGAGTCAGAAACTCATGGATACCATTTTTATGTCTCTGCATCCAGTATGGAGGAAGTTAGAGGTCGTTTTGTGAGCCAATACTAACTAGCATTAGCACAATTACTGGAAGTCTATGGTATCTACTAGCATGCTAGCAGTTAGCATAGATGTACAGTCATTGTGCTAATGCTAGTTAGCAATTGTACTAAGCTAGTTAGCAACTTTCTGCAGAGACATAAATGGTATCCGCAAGTTCATCTGACTGGGGAAGTATACTGAACAAAAATATAAACGCAACAATTTCAAAGATTTTACTGAGATACAGTTCATATAAGGAAATCAGTCAATTTAAATAAATTCATTAGGCCCTAATCTATGGATTTCACATGACTGGGCTGGGATGAGCACTGGGTGAGCCTTGGCGGGCATAGGCCCACCCACTTGGCACCCCACTGGCCCAGCCAATCAGAATGAGTTTTTCCCCACAAAATGGCTTTATTACAGACAGAAATACTCCTCAGCACCCTCCCTCAGACAATCCCCCAGGTGAAGAAGCCGGATGTGGAGGTCCTGGGCTGGCGTGGTTACATGTGGTCTACGGTTGTGAGGCCGGTTGGACGTAGTGCCACATTCTCTAAAACAACGGTGTAGGCGGCTTATGATAGAGAAATGAACATTCAATTATCTAGCAACAGCTCTGGTGGACATTCCTAGTCAGCATGCCAATTGCATGCTCCCTCAACTTGAGACATCTGTGGCATTGTGTTGACAAAACTGCACATTTTAGAGTGGCCTTTTATTGTTCCAGTGCACCTGTGTAATGATTATGCTGTTTAATCAGCTTATTGATATGCCACACCTGTCAGGTGGGTGGATTATCTTTGCTAAGGAGAAATGCTCACTAACAGGGATGTAAAGCTTTTTGTGAGTATGGAAAATGTCTGGGATTTTTTGTTTCAGTTCATTAAACATGGGACCAACACTTTACATGTTTATTTTTGTTCAGTGTAGATCAAGGGCTTCATTGCCAAAATCCTGAAATATCCCTTTAACGTGCTTAAGTGTTTTCTTTACTCTGTGTATAGACTTATTTTCCTTCATACAAGTGATCTAGAACCTTTGTAACCATACAATAATACTACATCGTGCTATTTGTGTAGGAACTAACTGTAATATGTTCTAGTACAGGTTGAGGAGAAACTAATATGGCACAATGCACGTTTCTAGCATTGGCTTCTTCGATCACTGAAAGAGATGTTGATTATTTGTACACAATTAGCAGCATCGTTAAGGGGTCTTTATCTCCAGGTTAAAGTTTTTACAGAAGAGAATATCACCAACTGTTTCTTTTATAGTACATTGGATACAAGAAACGGTTGCAGTGACATTCTCTTCTGTAAATACTTTTTTTTGTCTGAATTTATTCAGTAGTCTGAATTGGCTTCCTTCCTCTCCTTGTCTTGAATGCTGAAATTCAATTCACAGTTGGCATGCATCTACCGTTTCAGTGCAGATGAAGGGGAAACGGGAGGAAGCCTATTGAGATGCACCCAGGGTCAGCAGAAGCTCTCATCTGTCACGATTTTTCCTGCAGTAAGAAAATAAGCAGTAGCATTAACTGGTGTTGACAACGCAGTCTTTTTAGTTATTGCTTCTGTACGGCAAATGCTTTGTATTTTGCTTAAAGCTGGAATCTGCATTGAGGGAAACGGTGCCACTGTTCGCCCCTAGCATATTTGCTATTGTTTTGGTTCTGTTTATGAAATGGAGTAGCATCCAACATGGTAAAAAAAAAAAAAATCACAATACATACTCTGCTGTTCTATTGTGCGTGTAATGATGTGCAATGATTTCCGAGGAGATTTTTGTTGTTTGAAGTAATTTCGCAAACGGACGTGACTGTTTCACCATTAGTTTCCAGCTTTAATGGTCACTTGTCTGGAAATAAAATAAAATAATTTGGAAATGTGATCTTGAAATTAAATGTGAATGTACTTGCCTTTGTCTGTTAAAATGCACTCATGCCATTAATGTATTACTACGTAAAAATAGGGTGAAAAGTTAGCTAGGTAAAAAAAAAAACATGGCAGCCTTTTTTTATAAATTAAGGGTAGAATACAAAAGCATATTTAGGGAATGCGTTTCGTATAATACTGTACTTGCATAGGAATACGAATATATTTTTCAGACCACTAAGGGCTCGATTCAATCAGATCCGCCTTAAACCGCAATAACTTACAACTGCATAGCAGTTTCATTGTTTTTATTTTGGCAATGTTGGAGGTGTAACTGCGTTTGGAGCTGTCAAATCAGCAAGTGGCTCCCAGCGTAATTTATACCCATTGCGGACATTGCCATTGGATGCACAAGTCACATTTAGTATAATAAATTATACACCGTTTTTATTAGGTACACCCATCTAGTACCGGGTCGAACCCCCATGTGCCTCTAGAACACCCTGAATTATTCGGGGCATTCTACAAGGTGTCGGAAATGTTCCACAGGGATGTTGGTCCATGCTGACGCGATGGCATCACAGTTGCTGCAGATTGGAAAAGCCCAGAAGGGCGGCCGTTTATGAAATACTGGATCCGGCGTGCCTGACACTGACGATCATACCACGCTCAAAGTTGCTTAGGCCACTTGTTTTGCCCATTCTAACGTTCAATCGAACAGTAACTGAATGCCTCGGTGCCTGTCTGCCTACTTTATATAGCAAGCCACGGTCACGTGACTGACTGTAGGAGCTATCCATTTTCGTGAACAGGGTGGTGTACCTAAAACTGGTCGGTGTATATACACTGAACAAAAATAAATGCAACAATTTAAAAGATTTTACTGAGTTAGGAAATCAGTCAATTGAAATCAATTCATTAGGCCCTAATCTATGGATATCGAATGACTGGGAATACAGATATGCAGCTGCTGGTCACAGATGCCTTAAAAAAAAAAAAGGAGTGTGGATCAGAAAACCAGTCAGTATCTAGTGTGACCACCATTTGCCTCATGCAGCGCGACACATCTCCTTCGCATAGAGTTGTGGCCTGTTGTCCCACTCCTCTTCAATGGCTGTGCGAAGTTGCTGGATATTGGCGGGAACTGGAACACGCTGTCGTACTCGCCGATCCAGATCATCCCAAACATGTTCAATGGGTGACATGTCTGAGTATGCAGGCCTTGGAAGAACTGGGACATTTTCAGCTTCCAGGAATTGTGTACAGATCCTTGCGACATGGGGCCTTGCATTATCATGCTGAAACATTAGGCGATGGCGGCGGACGAATGGCACGACAATGGGCCTCAGGATCTCGTCACGGTATCTCTGTGCATTCAAATTGCCATTGATGAAATGCAATTGTGTTCGTTGTCCGTAGCCCATGCCTGCCCACAATGTTGACATCTGCAAACCGCTCGCCCACACGACGCCATACAAGCTGTCCGGTACAGTTGAATACCAGGATTAATCCGTGAAGAGCACACTTCTCCAGCATGCCAGTGGCCATTGAAGGTGAGCATTTGCCCACTGAAGTCGGTTATGGTGCCCAACTGCAGGTCAAGAACCTGGTGAGGATGACGAGCACGGATGTGGAGGTCCTGGGCTGACGTGGTTACACGAGGTCTGCGGTTGTGAGGCCGATTGGACATACTGCCAAATTCTCTAAAACAACAATGGCAGCTTATGGTAGAGAAACTAACATTAAATTATCTGGCAACAGCTCTGGCCTTTTATTGTCCCAGGCACAAGGTGCACCTATGTAATGATCATGCTGTTTAATCCATTTCTTGATATGCCACACCTGTCAGGTGGATGGATTATCTTGACAAAGGAGAAATGCTCACTAACAGGGATGCAAACAAATCTGTGCAGACAATGAGAAATAAGCTTTTTGTGCGTATGGAACATTTCTGGGATCTTTTATTTCAGCTCATGAAACATGGGACCAACACTAGATGTTTCATTTATATTTTTGGCGTGTTATATACAGTGCCTTCGGAAAGTATTCAGACCTCTTGACTTTTTCCAAATGTTGTTACATTACAGCCTTATTCTAAAATGGATTAAATAATTGTTTTTCCCCCTCAATCTACACACAATACCCATAATGACAAAGCGGAAAACAGGTTTTTAGAAATGTATCAAAAAAACAAAAATACCTTATTTACATAAGTATTCAGAACCTTTGCTATGAGACTCGAAATTGAGCTCAGGTGCATCCTGTTTCCATTGATCATCCTTGATGTTTCTACAACTTGATTGGAGTCGACCTGTGGTAAATGCAATTGATTGGACATGATTTTAAAGGGCACACACCTGTCTACATAAGGTCCCACAGTTGACAGTGCATGTCAGAGCAAAAACCAAGCCATGAGGTCGAAGGAATTGTCCGTAGAGCTCCGAGACAGGATTGTGTCGAGGCACAGATATGGGGAAGGGTACCAAAACATTTCTGCAGCATTGAAGGTACCCAAGAACACAGTGGCCTCCACCATTGAAATGGAAGAAGTTTGGAACCACCAAGACTCTTCCTAGAGCTGGCCGCCCGGCCAAACTGAGCAATCGGGGGAGAAGGGCCTTGGTCAGAGAGGTGACCAAGAAACCGATGGTCACTCTGACAGAGCTCTAGAGTTCCTCTGTGGAGATGTTAAATGATTTTCTATTTGAGAGTCATTATTTCTATATAGCCTGTCAGTGTGGTTTCGTTACAATGACGAGAAGAGCAGCCGCTCAGGGGCTTGACAGCTCCAACGCAGTTACACAAACATCGCCTAAACAAAAACAATAACTGCTATGCAACTGCTATTTGTGGGTTAAGGCCTAAGAGTTGTGCGTAGCTGACAGGAAATAGTGTTGGTATGCACAGTCCTGATGAGAATCTCGCTTTAACATTCCTTTTAATGGCCTTTCTCAATGCATTTTCAATCCCAGAATTCATAAACTCTGCGTACATTAAAAAAAATAAAACACTCATACTGATAAAAATCGCACTACATTCCAGTCAAATGGAAAGTTCAACAGAGGCTCAGCAATATGACATTGCCACGAGCAGCAGAATGAATTGCAGATGACGTAATGCAAGAACATGCAATCACAAAAGATATCTGCGCATGTGCATTTCACACTGCTCCAACGTGATAGCTGCAGGACCAATACATTTACATTCTTAGTTGTTGCGGAAGTCTGCCAGATATTGCTGTTTACTTCGTGCATCGTTAACTCTACCTAAAAAGATGCAATCTGCAATAGTTATTGCGGTTCAATTAATGGCAATTTCAATTAACGATAGTCCTTCGATCCATAGCTCCATCTGACTTTGAGCGGTAACATTTTTCCAGCCCCATCCCTCAGCTTTATAGCAAAGAAAAAGTGGCTTGGCTGCCGTTTGCCTGAAAAACCAATTACAAATTGTGGCTTTACGGCAAAGGCACTTCCTCATACGTGATCTGCACATAGGGAGATTTCATTGGCAAATACCAATATTCAAAGTTATAGTACAAGTAGAAGCTCTTCTCCTCTACCACCTTCTGATAAGCCTCCGCGAGACTGAGGACAAAGTCCATGTACGACTGGTGTGGTCGGAAAGGGTGATAGAACTTGCGGATGTCTTCAGCCAGGGACTTCGCAGAAGGATCCCTGAAGATAGAATCATCGTCCCCCAAGTAGGTCGGCTCCCCACTGTACAGGTAGAGCTTAGTGTAGTTGGTCTGGGATCGGCTGGACAGCTTGGCTCCCTGTTGAGTAAGATACCTGTAGGTGCGATGGACGAACTGGGAGCAGTCGTATGAGTCGAACCACACGGTGGCGTTGGGGCCGGGGTCCGAGCGGACCGTCCACGTCTCGTAATAAATCCCAGTCTGGTTGTCGTCCTGGACCCACAAGGCCATCTCGTTGAACTGGCCACCTAGGAGAGACAGTAATCGTTATTTATCATAGCAGAGGGGAGTTTGGGTTTGCAAAACTATAACATGCACAATGTCATTCATGCTGCATTCACCAATAATCCATGTGTTCACAATGGGCAACAGGTATCAAACCTGTGTTTATCATTACAACCTTTTCTAAAGAGAGATTGGCCCAGTCTGAATGCAACCACAAGCCCTACCCCTTGAGTGATTGCAGATCTAAAGGAATCAATATGGTGATGGTTACACCTAACATTCCAACCCCATTGATAAGTTATTTGTTGACTTTATTATCAGTCTGGTCTTCTTCAGCAGAGCATAGTAGTGATATGCCTAGTTATTACAAACAAAGTAAAGTGCATCATCTCCACATCCTAATTTTTACATTTAGCAGACACTCGTATACAGCAATTTACAGTAGCAATTAGGGTTAATCAGGGCACAGACAGATCTTTCACCTAGTCGACTCGGTGATTCGAGCCAGCAACCTTTCGGTTACAGGCCCAACGCTCTTAACCACTAGGCTACCTGTCGATCCTAATGGATCAACCAGGCTGCCAAAAGATCTCAAAGACAATACTACCTGATTTCACATTGCCCATGGCCTGCTCAGTCGTGTTACCTGAGATCTCTCCCACTTTCTCCAAGGTGCCATTCTCAGACCAGTGGATGTCATCAATCCCCTCAAAGAAGCATGCAGCTCCCTGGTTGCACCAAAAGGGGGCGGTAGTCTCACGTCTCAGGTGAGGGAAGGTGCAGTTGCCCAGCTGGAAGAGTTCATACCACTCCATGGTGTAGTTTCTCCCCCTCTCAGCACTGCTGAACCCAATGGCATCATGCATGATATGCTAGGAGTGAGAGAATCAAAATGAGTTACGCAGAGATTTGTAATGCACCTGGAATGTGTGTAACATTTGAGAAATTTACTGGACCCATATGCATTGGTTGTGTAACCTGATTAGGGCATCCACCCACAGTGGTCAGAATGACAGAAATCACATTTAGATTATGGTAATTAATCTTAACAGAACATGCAAGTCGAGGATGCAATGACGTGTGTCCTTACTATGCACTTTGAAGATAGAATAACTGTCCAGATGTACTTTTCCTGTGCCAACAATATGAGTAATGAAAAGCCTAATCACTAGCCTATGCATAGGCGGCCTGTGAGTTTCAAGTTTGGGGAAGAAAATGTTCAACATAAAAATGCACCTTTATAATAAAGCATTCCATGCATCATTGCATCTGCAGAGTTATGTAAGATAGCCTACTATTCGTAATGTGATGAGTAGATTGGATAGTCATAATTTGGCTAATAACTGTTGGCAAAAAATTCCATTCAATGCATCGCTGAGCGCATATAGCGTAGAGGCCTGGGTGGCTTAGCATGGGAAAAACACATTATATGCAATTCTACCACACTTTATATGACTGGAGACATTTGCAGAATCTTTTTTAATACGACAGGGTAGCCTACTCTGCGCTGACCATCGGCTGGTGCCAATTTTAATGTTATTTATTGGCTTTTCAAAAAACAATTCTAAAGCTATTACCAGCTAACTGAAATCCTGGTGTGTGTTGGTGTGTCTATCTGGAGTGAGAGTGACACACACACACACACACACACACACACACACACACACACACACACACACACACACACACACACACAGAGAGAGAAAAGAGTATGACAGCTGTGCAACTTCCCCAAAAAATTAAACATCCTACTTACCATTTTCCCCAGCAGGGATCCATATTTAAACTCCCACACTGGAGCTTGCAGTCGAAATACCGAGATGACATCCCAGTTATTCATGTGGGGCGTCCGGCCATCCCGGTCGCCGGTGGGGCAGAAGGGGAACATCGCTTCACAGTACGAGTCCGCAGCGGGACGACGATCAAATCGCCTGTCAGTGTCAATCAATCAATTTGTCAATGTCAACTACAGTTTGTGATAGAAGGTTGGATTGGTAGCTAGTTAGTGGTTAGAAAATCTAGGTCTACACCAAAGATTATTGGTGTACTGCCTTAACTAGACACGTATCACATGACATGTTGTCGAAGATAGCTAAACATGGATAGCAGCAGCTGTCTTAGAAGTGAACATTTGCCCTAAATACCTGTAAGGAATCGGCCATTCTTGCTTTCCATGGACACCTCGGAAAATCTCCAAAAAGTAAAGGAGGATTGAACACGTTAAAACCACCGTTGGTCTCATCTCAAGACACTTCTTGTAACCGCAGAAGACAAGCAGACGTTTCCCACGTACTTCCGTGCAGTGTTGCAACTCCTCAGTAAGGAAAGTAGCTATTGGCTGGCCTAAAAGTCGCTAGAGGTCGCTAAATGACGTCATCACCAAATTTGCATATTTGCCTCATGTGCATGTAATTGTGACAGATGCTGTATGAGAGAGGAATAACGTCGTGGGAGAGACAAAAACGGAGTAAAAAAAAACCTAAATATGTTTAGAACTACAAATGAACTTTCTTCTGTTGATTCTTGGGGGTTTTTTATGTCACAATTCCAACCCTCCTCCTTTATCCGGGTTTGGGACCGGCACAAGTGACCCAAAAGAGACACTCTGGCGGAGTTACTTCATTTTTTTTTTTTATGTATTATTCTTCTTATTATTTTTTTATTTTTTTATTAAGTTTGTTTTGGTTTTTAACCTTATGGTCCACTTAGGAGCCTACAACAAGTCACAGTAAAACATGAACATTTTTAACCATAACATTTTAAACATTTTTTTGTATACAATCTACAGATTAACAATCTAAATGGACCAAAAAGAGACAATAGAAAAAACTGTCAATAGTAATGTGAGAAAATTATGGTAACTAGTCTGGCCCTAATTCAGGTAAATGTTTTATTTATTTTTTACCCCCCTCCAGACACACACACAGGCTGTGCTGGCTCACAGAAAGAGTGGGTCATCGTCATTTTGGTCAAGGCTCTCTATGGCAGGTTCAGCCACTGAGGGAGCTGACTTAAATGAGTAAGCAGCTGATGTGCCAAAAAGCTGCAAAACATTATCAGGCAGCTGGTGCTCATAGCAAGCCTCACCAGACAGCTGGCTGAATACTCTCTCGACTTCAGCATTCGAGTGTGGCAAGGACAACACAGACACAGCAGCCATGGCAAGTTCTTGAAATGGTTGATATCAGCTGCATCCCTGAACTTCCAAATCTCACTCCAGAAGCCCAGTGTGTTTTTTGTCTCATTCCCTTTACTAAGATGGATGGCACGCCATTGCTGGACAATCTTGTCCAGGGATACGGGATAACTTATATATCCTAACATCACTTTGTCGGGCAAAGACACAACATCAAAACTCAGAAGGACAGACAACGACTCTTCTGTTTCACCACTCACGCCACCCTGTCTGCGTCACACCAAACGACGGCATCACAAACACCGGGAATCTTCCCCTTCAGTTGGTCAACTTTCACATTTTTCCCTACCCCAGTAATGACTCCTCTCAATGGCTCTCTTTCCTTGAGAGCAAAACAATTCACCTCTCTTGTCCCCATTCGTTTAATGCGAAGCAATTTTTTTAGGGGGTAGATCAGCTTTAATATTGCAGATAGATTGTAATTGTCTGCATCATTTCCAATCCCCCATATATTAAAAAAAATATATATATTAAAGGGTCACCCTGGTTAAGTGTGCCTTGAATTCTAAATAAATCACAGACAGTGTCACCAGCAAAGCACCCTCACACCACAACACCTCCTCCTCCATGCTTTACAGTGGGAACTACACATGCAGAGATAATCCGTTCACCCACACCGCGTCTCACAAAAACACTGCGGTTGGAACCAAAAACCTCAAATTTGGACTACAGACCAAAGGACGAATTTCCACCGGTCTAATGTCCATTGCTCATGTTTCTTGGCCCAAGGAGGTCTCTTCTTATTATTGGTGTCCTTTAGTAGTGGTTTCTTTGCAGCAATTTGACCATGAAGGCCTGATTCACACAATCTCTTCTGAACAATTGATGTTGAGATGTGTCTGTGACATGAACTCTGTGAAGCATTTATTTGGGCTGCAATTTCTGAGGCTGGTAACTAATTACATTATTATTATTATTATTTTACATTTTAGTCATTTAGCAGACGCTCTTATCCAGAGCGACTTACAGTTAGTGAGTGCATACATTTTCATACTGGCCCCCCGTGGGAAACGAACCCACAACTCTGGCGTTGCAAGCGCCATGCTCTACCAACTGAGCTACAGGGGACCAACTAATGAACTTATCCGCTGTAGAGGAGGTAACTCTGGGTCTTCCATTCCTGTGGTGGTCCTCATAGCGCTTGATGGTTTTTGCGACTGCACTTGAAAAAACTTTAAAAGTTCTTGACATTTTCCGTATTGACTGACCATCATGTCTTAAAGTAAGACTGTCGTTTCTCTTTGCTTATTTGAGCTGTTCTTGCCATAATATGGACTTCTGTATACCCCCCTACCTTGTCACAACACAACTGATTGTCTCAAACACATTAAGAAGGAAAGAAATTCCACAAATTAACTTTTAAGAAGGCACACTTGTTAATTGAAATGCATTCCAGGTGACTACCTCATGAAGCTGGTTGAGAGAATGACAAGAGTGTTCAAAGCTGTCATCAAGGCAAACGGTTGCTACTTAATATAAAATATATTTTGATTTGTTTAACACTTTTTGGGTTACTACATGATTCCATATGTTTTATTTCATAGTTTTGATGTCTTCACTATTATTCTACAATGTAGAAAATACAAAAAATAAAGGAAAACCCTTGAATGAGAAGGTGTGTCCAAACTTTTGACTGGTAGTGTACATGCGATTCACCCTCTCCAGGCAACGGCATTAATGACGCAGGATTGAAAGCCTCCTAGGGACCCAGCACCGTTCCTCCAGACCGTACCCCTCCCACTCCACGAGATACTGCAGGCCTCCCACCCGACTCCTCGAATCCAAGATGGAACGGACCGAGTACGCCGTTGCCCCCTCGATGTCCAGTGGGGGCAGAGGAACCTCCCGTATCTCAGACTCCTGGAGTGGACCAGCTACCACCGGCCTGAGGAGAGACACATGGAACGAGGGGTTAATACGATAATCAGGAGGAACCTGTAACCTATAACATACCTCGTTCAATCTCCTCAGGACTTTGAATGTCCCCACAAACCGCCGACCCAGCTTCCGGTAGGGCAGGCAAAGGGGCAGGTTTCGGGTCGAGAGCCAGACCCGGTCCCCCAGAGCATACACCGGAGCCTCAATGCGGTGGCGGTCGGCACTCGCCTTTTGCCGCCCGATGGCCCGTTGCAGGCGCACATGGGCAGCGTTCCAGGTCTCCTGCGAGTGCCGAAACCATTCATCCACCGCAGGTGCCTCGATCTGGCTCTGATGCCAAGGTGCCAGAACCGGCTGATAACCTAATACACACTGGAATGGAGTAAGGTTAGTAGAAGAGTGGCGGAGTGAGTTTTGGGCCATCTCTGCCCAGGGGAGGAAAACCGACCACTCCCCCCGCCGGTCCTGGCAATACAACCTCAGAAACCTACCCACCTCCGGGTTGACTCTCTCCACCTGCCAATTACTTTCGGGGTGAAACCCTGAGGTCAGGCTGACCGAGACTCCTAGACGTTCCATGAACGCCCTCCAGACTCTCGAGGTGAACTGGGAACCCCGATCAGACACAATATCCTCAGGTACCCCATAGTGCCGGAAGACGTGTGTAAATAGGGCCTCAGCAGTCTGTAGGGCCGTAGGGAGACCGGGCAGAGGAATGAGGCAGCAGGACTTAAAAAACCGATCCACAACGACCAGGATCGTGGTGTTCCCTTGTGAGGGGGGAAGATCCGTCAGGAAGTCCACCGATAGGTGGGACCACGGTCGTTGTGGAACGGGTAGGGGTTGCAATTTCCCTCTGGGCAGGTGTCTAGGAGCCTTACACTGGGCGCACACCGAGCAGGAGGAAACATAAACCCTCACGTCCTTAGCTAAGGTGGGCCACCAGTACTTCCCACTAAGACAATGCACTGTCCGACCGATGCCAGGATGACCAGAGGAGGGTGACGTGTGAGCCCAATAGATCAAACGATCGCGGACCTCCAGCGGGACGTACACACGACCCTCTGGACACTGGGAAGGAGTGGGTTCGTTACGCAACGCCAGCTCGATGTCCGCGTCCACCTCCCACACCACCGGTGCCACCAGACACAACGCCGGAAGTATGGGAGTGGGCTCCACGGAACTCTCCTCCGTGTCATACAGTCGGGAAGGAGCATCTGCCTTAGCGTTCTGGGAACCTGGCCTGTAAGAAAGGGTGAAAACAAAACGGGCGAGAAACATGGACCACCTTGCCTGGCGAGGGTTTAATCTCCTCGCCGCCCGGATGTACTCCAGATTGCGGTGGTGAGTCAAAATGAGAAAAGGGTGTTTAGCCCCCTCAAGCCAATGTCTCCACGCTTTCAGGGCTTGGACCACAGCCAACAGCTCCCGGTCCCCCACATCATAGTTACGCTCCGCCGGACTGAGCTTCTTCGAAAATAACGCACGGGGCGGAGCTTGGGTGGTGTACCCGAGCGTTGAGACAGGACAGCTCCTATCCCAACCTCGGACGCATCCACCTCCACTACGAATGGTAGTGATGAATCGGGGTGGGCCAGTACTGGGGCTGAGGTGAACAGACCCCGCAGTTTGCTGAAGGCCAGTACAGCACCTATCCCAGCCTCCGACGCGTCCACCTCAACCGTGAAAGCCAAGGAGGGATCCGGATGAGCTAGCACTGGAGCTGAGGTAAACAGGTTTTTCAGATGACTGAACGCCCTGTCCGCCTCAGCTGACCACCGCAGATGCACCGGTCCCCCCTTCAGCAACGAGGTAATGGGAGCCGCTACCTGACCAAAGCCCCGGATAAACATCCGGTAGTAATTGGCAAACCCCAAAAATCGCTGCACCTCCTTCACGTGGTTGGAGTCGCCCAATTACACACGGCCGAAATGCGGTCACTCTCCATCCTCACCCCAGACGCGGACATGTGGTACCCTAGGAAGGAGATGGTCTCCTGGAAGAACAGGCATTTATCCACCTTGGCATACAGGTCATGCTTCAACAGTCGTCCAAGCACTTTACGCACCAGCGACACATGCTCGGCCCGTGTATCGGAGTATATGAGAATGTCATCTATATACACCACTACACCCTGTCAGTGCAAATCCCCGAAAATATCATCGACATAGGATTGGAAGACTGATGGAGTATTCATCAACCCGTATGGCATGACGAGTCACTCATAGTGTCCGG